CACACACACACACACACACACACACACACACACACACACACACACACACACACACACACACACACACACACACAGAGGAAAGAAAAATTCAATGCGGGTGGTGCGCCTATGTGGGTGGTGCGCGTGCATCATGGGTCCGCGCACCGCACAGGTGCGCCACAGCTGTGATATGTAATCGTATGTATCCAGAGAACACTGAGCAAGTAAATGTAAGGCCAAGGTTGCGCAGGTTGGGGGTAGTATAGGGCGGTAATGGTTGCCAGTAGCATAGGAATAGAGCTCAGTCATCCTCCGTATACCCACCCACCACCGTGCACAGTTGAAGGCTTCATGTGCTGACAACTGTTAGACCCTCCTTCCCCTTCCCTATATACACAACACACACATGCAACATCACCACACACACAACTCCTCATGTCCAACACAAGCTAATCTCTTAACACTTTTCCTTTTTCCCTCCTTTTTCAAGTCATGAAGCCCCTCCCATACTATCTCAACATTTATCCCTGGTGCACCCCCTGCTCCCCCATCTTGCACTCAGGAGGACAGCCGCCTTCTATCCAAGGCTCGACAGTCTTCAAGTGCAACACTACTAAGGAGAGACACACCTCCGCATCGCGCCATGCCACAATTTACACAGCACTGCCCTTTTCTACTGGTTCACAATCAACACAGTCAGTCCTTCAGCGTGTGGGGAAAATGGTCGTCAATTCATTCGGTCTCTCGGACGAGGGTCCATCAGAAGATATTCATACTTACCCTGGAATGTCTAAGAACAAGCTGAAATCATGGGACCTTTTCTTGCAGCAGCTCCATCCCTTCATGCCATCGTGAAACACAGGCTGCCAAAGAGGAAGAAATAAGGAAGAACGAGGTAAATGTCACTCCTCACTTTTACAGAGTCGCAGGGTTAAAAACGTGCTCACCACTGACAAGTCACTTTTTTTGCCCAGTGACACAACAGCATCCAGTCCAGAAAATGTTACTACTCCTGCCAGGCAGCTCCGAGTAAATGTACCTGACCTACAACAAGTCTGCATGCATGCACCATAGCTTCCATACATTGTACATTTCTTTTTTTCTTTTCTTTTTTGCACCATTTCTTGATTTGTGTGTGTCATCCTTGTGCAGGGGCCATGCTAATTTTCTCCTATCGTTCCAATTTTAACGGATGGCCCGAAGGACTGCATTGAACATTCTACACTTCTACGTGGAACTAGTGTGATTGATTGCGCCCACGGCCAACTCAGCGGTGATTACGACGGCACAAAGGAGGCCAAAAAACACAAGTTGCTCCCATGTGGCTGAGTGGTACACCGATAACAGTCAATGAAGAGATCACGAGTTCGAAAACTCTGAATCCAGACGGAATCGAACTGTCTGATACAGTAATGTTAGACACTGGGCCCTTACAGAAACAGAAGTCCAAAAAAGAAAAACTGCACGGGTCGGTGGAAAAGGAACCCCGGACTGACCCTCCCAGAATAGAAAGGAGCCAGAACCATAGGGCCCTGGTTGAAAGCAACAAAAGGAAAAGAAAACTTTAAGAAAGTTAATACAATAAAGAACCAAAATACGTCAACCCTTCCCTTCCCTGACCGACGGACGCCCAACCTCTCTTCCAAAGTAAAATATCACCCCAACCAGTCTCCCGCTTTCCAGCTACACCTCCTCAATGCAAGCCATGGATTTGCATGGCCCAGATTGCAGCAGTAAAACATTTCCGTCATTCAGGCAAAAGGAGCTTCAATGCCTGCGTGCCTCTCAATCAATCAACAAGATACCAGACACATGAAATAGACTCGATGATTCATACACTTCGACATCAACAAACCGGATGGGTATTCCCTGTCCTAGCCGCACCACACGTCGTTCACACAACGACTGCGGATTTAGTAAATGCTCCCCTTTTTCAGAGAAATGAATGCCGTTTTTCTTCATGAAAGAAATTCATTTAACTTTAATAATATGGCATAGTCATGTAGCGGATAACAATATTCATTCATTTTTTCAAAATAATATAAAAATAATAATAAAAAATTCATTTTAAACATCCCCGTGGCCAATGAAAAAGACAGAACTTACCGCCTGATCGTGAGCGCAAATGCAAGCACCACGTTTTCCGCCGTGCATTTCATTTCCACACACAAGTTTCAAGTGGAGTCCGTCCATGATTCGGAGCAATAGAACGCCCGTAAGCAGCAAGATCCGCCAGTGTGTGCCGCCCCCACAGCAAGATCCAACGACGGCAGCAAAACGCCCGGCCGCAAGATCCAACAGCAGCCGAACGGCCAGCGACAAGCAAGGTGTGATAGCAAGAAGTAAGACGGGGATACAGACCACCATAGCCAAGAGTCAGCATGCTCTGAAAAAACTACTGAAACGCAAAACATAAGGAAATGAGGAACGAAAGGGGAGAGCTCACAGCACGTACTCGAGCAATTCTTACTCACCCGTCATCATTTGATCTCGACGGTCCTGGTTCGCATATCATCCCGACCAGCAGACAGTTCTGGTCCACCACACTGGCAGTGACACAACGGGACACTACGTATAAATAAAAATATAAATCGTCATAGAGAACCGCCCGGTGAATACGTATCACATCACCAGTTCAAACGAACCTAAGTAGCGCCCTTCCCGGTATACGCGGCGGTAAGAGCACTTGGCTTCAGGCCTGTGCCGGTAGCAAAAGTGGCAGGCAGGTCACTTTGAAAAGGCACAGTTGCAGCCTTGCTAGGCTTGGAAGGCAGCTTCATGAACTTAGGCTCATGTCAACTGGTGGCTCAAATGAGCTCTTCTTTGAGAGCAAATTTCGGAATCTTTGAGAGCTCTTTTTTTTTTTTTTTTAAATCCGAACAAGCAAGCAATGCATTCCTAAATGACTGAGCGGCTGTGCACAGAGTCCCATGGTAATCACTCACAAAAGCCGAGATCCCAGTACCCGGGCTACCGTCTTCAGTGCAATAGAATGTACACATTGTACAGCCATCACCGCTGTATCTAGACTGAAAGTTGCCCCAAATACAGCTATATAACGACTTCACATTCTATTCGGCGGAAGACAGTAACAACCAAAACAAGCCTCACTGACTCAATGCAATACTCTACACGACAGCTGGCAGAGAGCACGCTGTGGCCAATTTTTTATTTTAATTTTAATTTTTATGTTTATTTTAATTTTTATTTTTATTCTATTTTTGTTTTTATTTTTATTTTTATTTTTTGCTGTGGGCAATTTTTGGAGAGCACGCTGCGGCCAATTTCTGGAGAGCACGCTGTGGCCAATTTTTGCCCAAGTGCTTCTCGGCGGACAAAAGACAGCAGGGTGTCATGCAGGAGAGTGAACAGGGTGTTCTATTTCTTTCGCTGAAATTTCAGACTGCTTGGACCTTTTTTCTTTTTTTTTTTGGTTTAAATTCAAAAATTTTGGACCATTTTCCCTGCTGACTACACCCAGCTTAGAGGGAGATCCAATTCCAATTATGACCTTCGCCTGACCCTGGTCTTTCAAGCCTTTACCATAACTTCTCATATACACTACTTAATACTTATGCCATTGAGCCAAGAACTGATGTCCCCACTAAACATATAATTTGCTAGCGCGTTTTTTTTCTAGCACCCGGGCACCCAACTTGTTGTGCCTGGATACGTGCCTGCGTGCCCGGTCAGGGTTGCGGGCAGCCTCAGCACTAGACCAAAAAAAGAAAAAAGAAAAAAAAAAAAAAAGGGTGGGGGGGGGGGGGGGGGGAAAAAAAAAAAAAAAAAAAAAAAAAAAAAAAAAAAAAATAAAAAAAAAGAGGAGGGGGGGGGGGGGGGGGGGGGGGGGGGGGAGGAAATGTTGTGTAGAATTGCAATGCAAACGACACTTTTGGCTGAGGGTCACATGAGAATTCCTCATTGAATCGAAGATTAAAGAAAAAGAAAACAACAGAATGAGACTAAGGCACCCCGGTATAAACCCCTCCAGCCCCTTTAAAACCGCAAGTACACGGCCCCAGCCTTGCAGACAGTTTTCTGTCACCGCAAGCAAAACTCGGAGGGGCCACGCAGCTTGGGGCGCCGTTGAACAAACAAAATCGGCGGCCTCCGAAGTGGTGCGGGTTTCGTGCTGACACCCGAGGGCCGATGTGTGGTGTACTGGTGCTTTAAAACCAAGTTATACCCACCCTTTTTCCTCCACTTGCCAGCCACTTGCCAGCCAATACTCAGAAAAAGAAAAGAGCCCCGATTTGGGCTCTCCTCTGAGGCTGCGCGGGGGTTCCAACAAAAAAAACAAACAGGACCCTACTTATTCCCACCCTCGGGTACCCCCGGCATTAGACCCCCCCAGGCAACTTCGCCGGATACCCAGCCCGGTCTGCATGGCCGGACAGCCCAAGTAGCCTTACGTAATAAAATGCATGAATGAAAGAAACGAAAGGCATTATCCATTCCTCCGCGCATTTGGCATTATCCATTGGAATCACCTACGATCACGTAAACTAATCATGGAGTGCTCAAATAAAGAGAAATGCAGGTGATATTGATATTGAGAGGATGACCACCAAGAAAGGTCATGCTCACACAAATCACCACGCCCAAATAAAAGACCTGCAGCAAAAGGTCAAGATGAGAGCCGAAGGTCAACACAGAGCACCAGGCCCATCCTCTCCACTCGAATTTATAGTCAATGCCTGCATCTGGACGAATTATGCTGCAACAAGACGAACAATACTGCAAAAAAAAAAAAAAAGAAAAAAAAAGGGGGCCTATAACCTTTGCCTGCATCTGGACTAACCTTTGCCTGCATCTGGGCTTCTATTGCCTAAGAAGGAAAGTCTGGCCTCAGGGTGATGCGGTTGTGGTTGTGGAGGGGACTCATCAACTACGATGGGCCCCCTGATCGAGCATGGACTGGGGATTCACTACCCTTGAAGCAGTCGAGTAAAGTACTGCAATTATTCAGAATTACAAATGATATGATATCTCAAGAGCGTTGCCCTTTATATATATATAAAAAAAAATGTGTTCAAGAACAGCGCTTCAGATCGCCCGATTTTGGCGCAACTGGTCAGAAATAGGGGTCAAGATTTCTCCAATCCTTGTTTGAAGTGTTAGGCATTTGGTAGGTTTTCTTGTTGAAAGAAATTTTCTTAGTGATTTTTTTTTTTTGAGATAGCTTATAGTGTCGTCCTCTTTTTTAGTTGTCGTCCTCTTTTTTAGTTGTCGTCCTCATACTTAGGAGTAGATTTAGAAACGGACTTAGGTATTGCAGTCCGTTTTTTTTTATTTTTATTTTTTTTCAATTTTGTTCCTTTCTACAGGGGAGCGGCTTCGCCTGCTGAGTGAGGCTGGAGACCTTGCGGCCCCTGAATCTGCTGCTACTCTTTCATGCTATTTTGTATTTTGCCTTGGGCACTGGGGCCTTAATACAGACTGCTCTTTTTTTTT